ATACAATGAAGCTGGCAAGTTTGTTAAAATTCCTTGTGGATAATATAAATATATTTCTTGTGAGTAATGGTTAGGTTTCCTTGTCTCTTTCTGCTTCCTGAGAAAATGTTTTGCTGAAAACATATTGTATTAGGAATTTTTTTTGTGCCTGCCTCCTCCTGTTTCCCCCCCGACTCCCCGCTGATCGTGGGATGATTGCGATAGGAGTGAAGCTGGGCCTGTTTTCATATGGCAGGTCTGCTCCTTCACCTCTCAGACCTCTGAAGGCTGGCGCTCAAACCAAGGTCTGAGCCAAAAACTGGAAAAGGATTGCTTTTGGGATGCATTATACAACACCATGTAATCTCAGCTTGGTCTATTTTTAGAGGGAGGACCTACCCAAGTCTGGTGAGTCCCTAGTTGTTCAACGTTACGGTGACTGGACTCTACCGCAACAGCTGTTACAGGCAAACCCTAAGCCAAAATACAAGCTTCCTCCAAAGGACAGAGTTCTCATAAGCAAAGCTACATCCAAACTTTGATAATCTGCCAGAATGTTTTGGTCTCTGCACTCCTGAATGCCACGAGTTCATACATCTGGTTTTTTGCAATCCAAATGCTACTCTGCCTCTGACTTGATTCAGAATGACAAAACCCCTGCTGGTCTTTTTTGTTTTAAACCTAAAACATACACCTCTAGAGAATTTTAGTTTCCAGTACTGTTTCATTTTCTGTTGTACTCCATTTTTCAGTCACCAAAGCCAAGCAGTCTTCAACTCTGGCTCCAGCATATGTGAAATGTATTAGCAAAGTTCTCCGTTAATTTTTCTGTACATGGGAAAATACTCTTCTTTCTGGGTCTTTCTAAATGCCTCTGTTCCTTCCCCCGCCCTTTCCTGTATTATCACAGCTTGGCTATTGGTTCTTCAGGAGTTACTGTTGTTTCCTAGTGTCTTCGCAATATAAGAAGTTTCATGCCAAATGTAGCGTAGGCACAATTCTTGAAAATCTGCGCCTGAAACTACCTGTGGAACGGCAAATTACTTTTCCATAGCTATCTTCACAAAAGAAAACCAAATGTCCCACTTCAAGCCTTCCTGTCTTTTACTGTTGGTTTTTTTTTCTTTAATTGAATAGCTTTTGCTGTAGATGTGTATTGATTTACTGCATTAATACTAGTCCTGTAAGCGTCACATCCTGCACCAGAACAGAATGTGTCTGCCTGGCTGCAAAGAGGTGCCTCCGACAAAGAACAAATTGAACTAGATCATTGACACAGGTGCAGATTGTAGCATTTCCCTTTTTCTCCTTGGCATAAATCATAGAAACATAGAATGGTTTGGGTTGGAAGGGACCCCTAGAGGTCACCCAGCCCAAACCCCCTGCAGGAGCAGGGACACCTTTAACCAGACCAGGTTGCTCACAGCCCCATCCAACCTGGCCTGGAATGTTCCCAGGGATGGGGCCTCCACCCCCTCTCTGGGCAACCCCTGCCAGATTCACTTGGTAAAAATGGCCATACTTTGTCTGTTCAGGTTTTATTCATGCTGAGGTTTGTGCAGAAGAGCACTTACAGAGGACAAACCATCTTTCCAGCAGATTTTTTGTTTCTTCCTCTTAGTTATGTTTTAATATATTTCATGGTAAATAAGATCCTCCTTTATCATAACTAATTGCTGTAAATGCTCCTCCCTATCCACATGGTAAACTGAGGCACACCCTGGTGAAAGGTTGCCCCTGTGAATCACTACCAATAAAGGACAGTAGACCCAGATCCTCCGTAGTTTCTTCCAATCGTCCTTAAGAGAGCTGCCTGTGAAATGAGCATCACTTCACGAATTCAGTAAATGATCTGAATGGAGGGGAATGGTGGGCTCTTACACATACTCCCAGCAGATGCAGAGGACTTTTTTAGTGCAAAAGACATTGCTCTCAGTAGAGGCATCCTGAGGAGTATTCACAACGCTGGTCTTTAAGACAGGAGCTCCCAGGCCTATGGGACTTTTGTATGCGATTGTGCTGTTTACCACGTTGCTTGTAAACCTTGCGAGAGAAATAAAATGTGAGCCTTTCAGAATACTTCCATTTATTACATCTTGTAAACAGCCTGAAAACATAACATTGCCCCTCTTAATTTCTTGATGCATTCTCTATGTGTGGGATGTTGAAGGATGTAATGGTGTGGTGGTGCATCCCCTCCGCCCTGCTCTTCTCTCCTGGACTGCTTTACGATTTCAGAAACTCCCATCAGATCTTGGCCTTGGTGTAAGGAGTTGGATGATTGGATGTCACAGCCCATACCAGAAACTCCTACATGGCTGAGGTGGGGAGCGAGAATGGGAACAGTTATCCCCTGAGAGCCTCAGGCTTATCTGAATCGTAGCCTGAGTGGCATGGTACCATCGTTACTGGAATTCCAGTGATTACTAACCCAGGTTGTGGTCTGGACTGGAAATTTACTGATGGCTAAAGCCAATCATCTCATGATCCTACAAACAGTGGTCCTAAGTGAGGCCCTTTGCGCTCTCCTGGACCGCAGCGGGCTGCGGCCAGCATCTCCCTCGAAGTGGGACACCTCTCAGAGCTCACAAACTCCTAAGCTTGCTAAAATTGCAGGTCCAACACCACAGAGTGACGGTGGAGCCTGGGCTGAAACCTTTCACTCCTTGAGGCTCAACCTTCGCCTGTTGAGACATGCCAAGCCATTTGATGTGAGTATTTCACTGAACTCAAGGGGAATTTTTAACAGGTATAGCTCTCTATATATGTCTGTGTGTATGCATGTGTGAATCTATTTAAGTAGTCTGTAGATGTATGATTTAATTACAAAGTGAGTCTTATACTGCTACTAGATATATATATTATCCTTAGACATAAACCATTGACCAAGTCTGAGACTAAGATTGGACCCAGCTGCACCCAGACTCCTCTCTGAATAAGTGTTGAGTGGATTCCCCTTCAGCAAGGACGAAAGAAGTGAAAACTCAAGGCAATGAAAATATAAGTCTCTGTTCAACTTTAATCTTTCATTTAAGTTTGCTTCTCAAAAGTTTTTCAGTTGGCTAAAAATACAGTTAAAGGCTTAATCATTCCTCTAAACTTAAAAAAGTGAATTTGCTTTGCCAAGTGGGTTTTTTAAAGCTTATATTATTGATTGTTAAATATCAAAATAATTTGTCACCCTGTTCTTTCTCCCTTGGTGAGCTGTGGTTAGCCTCACCGCCATGATTTTCCTGAAAATGGACATAGAGCTGTAGCATAATCTCTGCAAACATTGCCCTAAAGAAAAAAATACAAGTCTGCTAATACGAAATCTTATTTTGGTGTGGCCCAAATCTAAAATCCTAAAAGAAGCCAAATACAAGTCTGCTAATACGAAATCTTATTTTGTGGCCCAAATCTAAAATCCTAAAAGAAGCTGTAGCATGTTATATGGCAATAACCGAAGAAAACAGTTGTGTCTGTCTTCAGAGAGAGAACTGGAATAATACAAGAAAATCCCATTTCCCAATATACTGAGCTTTTCTGTAAGCAATTGGATAAGATCTGAAGAAATCAGTTCAAGTCACAATCTTCTTGGAAAAACTATGAATCTTAACCATATATGAATATATTTGCAGGTATGTTATTATACCAAAAAAAAAAAAAAAGAAAAATCATACAGAAATGTTCACACTGAAATGTTCAAACTGAAAATTAAAGCCTTCTAACATGTGATACTGGAAAGAGCCGTTTCTTGAGCGGTCCCATTTCATTATGCAAAGTCTCATGCTTCAAATGCAGCCCTCCAAAGCGAGGGAATTTCCACAGATGTGCAACTGGTGTATGTGCTTGGGCTTCCCTTTTTCTTTCTAGCACATCACATCGGCCATGGGTATCCCAGAGCAGGACGCTGTACTAGGCTGAATAAATAGGCTTAATAGAGAAACCCGAACTCCTGGATCAGTAGATTAGATTAAAGGAATCCAGCGTCCTTACCTAAAAATTAACTTTCAATGAATTAACTTTGAAGGAAGAAGGGAGGGAAAACAGTGTTAATACAGATGAAATTTGTCACATGTCCTTCACTAGACAGGATGAGCCAGATGTTGCTCAGTTGTGTGCGAGCCTTTTGTCTTTGCTGTGTATTGTACCTTCGTGTAGGACGATGTAGGGGTGGGAGGAATTACTCCATGGGTTACTGTCTTCCTGATTTGTAGTGTTGCACGTAAACATACTCCAAACAAAACCCTTCATAGGCACTTAAGAACAGATCCCTCTTGAAGGTCCTCTGTATGGCCTGTAAAGTGTCCTTCCAGTGTTGTGTTAAAAATACAGGCTGACAGGCAATCCATCCTAATGTTTTCTTTGTGGGGTTTGGTTTTTTTTTTAAATTTGAATCTTCATAGCTTTATATCTCACTGTGCCTTCGAATTCCTGTGATTTAGTGCAACGGGTTTCATTTTATATAAGAGCAGCAACAGAAGTCCTTGGTTAGTGTCTGGAGGAGGAAAAGGTTAAATTCTGTATTCAGTTATGATTCATGAGTTGATAGTTAGAAAGAATACTTCATACAAAAAGCCAACAGCAACAAAAAAAACCTTCAAAAAGCTCAGAACCTCGAATAGGGTGAGAAGTGTTCATTGGAAAAGAGAACTCAGGATGTACGTAAGGGCCAGGACCGACATTAAAACCTTAGCAGTAGGCAGGAGGATGCTGGCACTGGACCAGTACACCTTGCGTTCGTTCAGAAACTGAGCAGGCCGGAAATTTTCAACCATGTATGTTGAGTTCTTCTCGCCAAAGCGAACTGTTGAGAATTGAGCAATCTGTAGACATTGAAGAAAGATAGATCGTTAAATTTTTTGTCCATGGAACACTGGGAATCATGATATCTGCAGTGCCTTACTCTGTGGCATTGGTTTGAGCTGTATGGCTGCATTAAACCTGCCAGGAAACGACGTGAGGGAGGCTACTGCCAGAGGTCACCAAGAGATGACTTCTTTAGCCTTGGAAATCATGGGGACTTCCTTTCTGTGGGAGCCAAATGCTTTGTCCAGCTGAAGGACCTGGTTACACCAGTCCTCTTGACGCACACAGTCCTGTCCGTGTCCATCACGTCACAGTGACACAAGGTAAGAGGACTATAGGATTCCTTTCTTCGCTTCAAATTTCGAACCGCTTCAGCAAGAAGCTGGCTCAGGTCAAGCAGATGCTCACCCTTGTGTTCTGTGCTATGCTCACCTGCACGTGGCCGAGCACTGCCCTGTGACTCAAAGTGATTATTTAAGGAACTAAAACCTGATGTTGGCTCTGGGCCAGGCTGGGCTGGCTAATAGTATTGCTCAGAGTTTGCTTCAGGACACCTGAATTTTTTTTCATTGTGTACTCTGTCAGCTGAACAATCTGCCGGTTAGAGGCAGTCACGTTTCAATCTCCTGTTCCTCTCTGCAGGACAAAATTGGGCTGCTTAAAGCTGGTGCTGATAGACTCTAAATTTGGATTTTGAAGTATTCTGTTCTGGTATCCTAATACTTAGGACCACAGGAGAAAAGCAGTGAAATTTGGGAGTGAGCAGATGACTACAGTGGAAGTGCCGCTGACAGAGCTAGGTGTTTACCTGTGGGAGTTTTTGGCTTTCTTTTCACATCGTCATTTCCCCTTCCTTCCCCTTTCCTGCCATTTTTTGAGAGATGATTTAATGGGGTCAAAACACTGGCACCAGGGAGTACGCTTAGGCCAATGCCAAGCAAGCGTGTGTGCGTCATCGGGACAAAGCGGGGGGAGCGGCCGACAAGTCCGCGTTAAATTCTGTGAGTGAGCAGGCAGCTGGAGGGGCAAAATAACATAAGCAGACCTTGCGGGCTACCCCTCTGAGGCTTACCTGAGAACTACTGAGTTCAATGGGCTTCTCAAATACTGTCCAGATGACACCCTCATGGCAGTCGGGAGTGGTGAGGGAGCCCACGTACCGATAGTACCTTTCCAGGTCTTCCTCACGTGGGAGTAGAGAACTCAGTGGCAGAGGGTCCATCTTTGCTGTCTGCCCTAGACAAAGCGAGTGGAAATAGTGCTTGTGACAAGCGCGGCTGCGCCTCATCCCCAGGCACACCTCCCGTGCCGCCCGGTGCAGCCGTGCTGCGCTGCTGGTGAAACCCCTGCCTGCCGGCTGCAGCATCCCCCAGAGCACAAGTTATGCACGCCTCCAGCCTTCACGCTCCGCGTGGTTTTCTTCTCACCGTGCGTCCTCCTGCAGCAACAGGAATACTCACTCTCCTGCTGGGGGGCTTCTTCGTTGCAAATACGGAGAACTAGATTTTCTCCCACCTGAGATTCTCTGACTTCTTGCCAAACCAACCTTTACCTTTTAGCTTTGCCTTTCAAGCAGCAATCTCTACTATAATTAGAGCAGGATTGGACTGTAAACTACCTGGTAGTATATGTCCTCAAAATAAATATACGTTGCGTTTTGACCAACACAAATGTCTTACCGTTGTAGTTGACATTCTCCAATTCTTTTATTAGAGTTGCATAGTTTTTATTTTCTTCTTCAGCCTGAAATGGAAATGTTTTGAATCCTAATCAGGCATTTTTCAACAACCGGTTGCTTTAAATTAATTGTGAATAAAACAGAAAAGAACCACAAGGCTAAAAGATGGCAGCAAGCAGAATATAGAAAGGGGTAAAGGAACTAAGTGCTGGCACTGAATGCTTGCAAAAGACAGGGAGGCTTAGGTCTTGGTCTACTCTAACATTAACACAGTCGATCACTCAGCCAAATTGCTGGTAGATTTGAGATGGGCAATTAAAAATTTGGCTACCTACCTTTATAAAGAATGCTAACACAGCCACACCATCTGCATTTTTCTTCGCTTCTGTTATATCCGAAAGGTCTTCTCTTATGTGGACGATATGAAGCTGTAACACAATAGTCAAGGCTCATTATTTCTTCGTTCTCCTCTGCAGTTCATTGCTGTAAGTGCAGCCTGGCTGCAGCGGGGCCAGAGCGGCTTTGCTGCTCGCAGGCTGGGGACGGACAGCTCGAGGCTCCTGGCCCAGGAGCTATGCAATAAGTGGACTATAATTTGAAACTTCACTCATGAATGTTGGTGTCATTCCATCCATCTCCCCGGAAGGTGAAGCACTCTGTGGACTGCTGCAGCCCTCAATTTTCAGCCTGTACAGTGGAACAGGCAGATTTCTACGTCACGGTTTGGAAGGAGGGTGGTTTCCTTCCACCAATCCATGTATATCAGCACTGGCGACTTGTCTCACCGTGAAGAGAATATTTTTTTTTTGCTTGCATATGTCGATTTGTGGTTGCGGTCCCAGAAGTGAATAGAGAATCTGAATAAGCAGTGTGAGAGCGTAATCGGACCGTATAGACTTTGAAGTGTTTCTCTTCCTCAAAGGCTATATAACTCCAGATTTGTTGTCTGTCCTGTGCCTTTGCTATGCAAAGCTAGTGTGTCTTAACTGTGTGTTAACGAGCAACATGTCCTCGGTTCTTTATTTCCACTGTTGGGGTTTCATAGGAGAACTAGCCATAGGTTTTGTGCAACAGCATCTTAAAAAGCCAGGGTTCTTGAGTAAAAGCCCTAATCCACAAACAGTTTCACCTACCTCCATGGCTTGTTTTTCTCCATCTATGCTGTGCTCTGACCCGGGATGGTATTGCTGCACACCTTGGACTCCCCAGTGGAAATGAAATTCTATCGCCTTGTATTTTCTTTCCAGACCTCCACCTCCAATTTTAGGGGATGTGCTTAATGTTACTTTAACTGGGGAAAACAAATAAGTAGAAAAATCACATCACACATTAATAGTATTTGAGAGTAGAGAGATGCATGTTCTTGAGATTCAAATTTATCCTAAGGTTCTGGCTTGGTCTTTCATCCTGAGTGTTCCAGAAGTTCAACTCTGCAGGAGCTGAACTCTTACAAAATGCTAGCTGAGATTAATTTGAGATGAAAGGGAGAAATACCATCGCCTGCTTCCCAGTAATACGCAACAGCGTTTGGGCATCCCTCTACGGCACAGCACTTGGAGCTCCTGCTCCCATTTCTGCCTAGGATTTGCCCTGTGAACTTGAACGACTGGTGCAGAGCCTCGCTTGCTGGAGAGCTGAGCTACCCATTACTTCAGCTGCATAAATCGCAGCAAGATAAATGTGATGATACTGGTTTCCCTTTGTACAATGGGGGAAAAGGACAGAGCACTACTTTGGATTGTTCTGGGCTAAGGGTTTTATAGGCTGTTATGCATCCGTTGATATCTCCTTTGATGTATCATCAGTTAATTGCATTTTGAAGAAAACCAGGTAGGAGACTGCCTTTCCTTAATTGCACCGAGGGGATTTTCAGAGCTTTGTTCACTGCCATTACAACCCCAGGAGTCAGAGCTACCTATGCCTTTCAGAAGACCCCATATTCCTTCTTTTTTTTGTCTAGGAGAACACCCTCTATCAAAGTATTCTTAAAAGTAAATTTGATCATGGTTTATTTGGTTTTTAAGCATTGTTTTTATCTCCTGTTGTCTATACCACAACTGTTGTTTTAGGCAGGGTTTAAGGATATTCTGTTTTAATTTAGAGTAGTGTTGCAGCTTAACCCTAAGCATCTAAGTCATTATATCTATCTAATGTGATGCTTGATCTGTTGTGAATAGCAGAACAGAATTTTCTTAGGAGCTATTTTTCTAGCTATAAATCACCATCAATTCCTGTGCTCGAGACTTTTGGGATATATTTTTAAAATTTACTCATTAAGACCTGTACATTAAGCACAGTGCTTTTCTTTCCATAGGAAAGATTGTTTTGACATGGATTGAAGCCCCAGAGATTTCATTTCTGTTCTGAATTTCAGATGAACTGGAAGCTTGCGTGAGTCATTTAGTTACTTTGCTTTTTTAGCTATAAAAGGATGAGTAACATATCTTTGTTGGCTTGCTTTATTTAGATTGTAGGACCTTTGAGACACTGACCGTGGTTATCTGCACATCATCGAACATAATGATAGCCAAAGTGCACGTAGAGCTTCTAATTGCAGCTGCAATTTAAGCAGTAACAGTTCCAGTGTTGCACTCGCTGTAGCACAGGAATTGGTTGCCCTCAGAAGGAAGAAATTTAAAAAGCCCAGATTAAAAACCTAATCCTTTTGCATGTCTGGGAAAGATGAAAATTCTGACCAATCCTTATGAATATTAATTTTTGTGTAAAAGATATTTCTATGCACAGTGACTGTATTATGGAGATTCTAGAATATCATTCTGTAATGAGAATGTCATTAATCCACATACTAGTGAAAAGTCAAAACACATCTTTTTCTTACGGTCTGTCAAAAATACTGATATTTTAAACTAGAATCTCTGGCTGTGAAAATTGACCCAGCTGTGTACCTTCCTACCTTTCCATTTTAAGTTAGGAAAATATTTGCCACTTGCAACTTTCCGTTTTAGGGGCCTGGCAGTTAAAACAATCCATCTAAGACTGTAAGAATCATAGAATCATAGAATCATAGAATGTTTTGGGTTGGAGGGGACCACTAGAGGTCATCGAGTCCAACCCCCCTGCAGTCAGCAGGGACACCGCCAACTAGATCAGGTTGCTCAGAGCCCCATCCAACCTGGCCTTGAATGTTTCCAGGGATGGGGCCTCCACTACCTCTCTGGGCAACCTGTTCCAGTGGTTTACCACCCTCATTGTAAAGAATTTTTTCCTTATATCTAGCCTAAACCTACCCCGATTTAGTTTAAAACCATTACCCCTTGTCCTAACGCAGCTGGCCCTACTAAAAAGGTTTTCCCCCTCTTTCCTATAGGCCCCCTTTAGGTACTGAAAGGCCGCAATCAGGTCTCCCCGCAGCCTTCTTTTCTCTAGACTGAACAAGCCCAACTCTCTCAGCCTGTCCTCATAGGAGAGGTGCTCCAGCCCTCGGATCATTTTAGTAGCCCTCTTCTGGACCCGCTCCAACACTTCCATGTCCTTCTTGTGCTGAGGGCTCCAGAGCTGGACGCAGTACTCTAGGTGAGGTCTCACCAGAGCTGAGTAGAGGGGCAGAATTACCTCCCTCGACCTGCTGGCCACGCTCCTCCTGATGCAGCCCAGAGTACGGTTGGCCTTCTGGGCTGCCAGGGCACATTGCCGGCTCATGTCCAGCTTTTTATCCACCAGCACCCCCAGACTGTAAGACTGTAAGAACATCTATAGGTAATTTAAAAAAAAAAAAGGACAACAGTTTTATCATTAAAGTAATTTAGCGTAATATTGTTGAAGCATCATCATTAGTATTGCTTTTAGTGAAGAAAAGTAGAGGAAGTGAAACGGTGCTAAATTACTATTACTGATTCACTGTTTACTGATTTGCTGTTCACTGATTCACTGTTTACTGATTTGCTGTTCACTGATTCACTGTTTACTGAATCAGAAAGAAGCTGATCAACAAGCTGGCGTTAGATTACTTCCGCGTGCAGTGAAAACAGGTTGAAAGCTGAGATTTGAGCTCATTGTTTAAAGAACTAGGAAGATGCACACACTGCAAGCCACTGGTTGAACGACTTTCCCAGATGATGTTCATCTTCAGCAGAATTCTTATTTGTGCAGAAGCAAGAGTCAGAAAGGGCAAGCCCAGAAAGGAAGGGCACAGGAGCATTCAGCAGAGGCTATGTACCTCTGCCAAAACTGCTGTCTTAAACCCCTGTACTCACCTGCCTCCTAGTCCTACAGGTTCCCTAGACATCTCCAGTTCTGTTTCTGCATATGTACGGAACCGATTTCTGCTGAGACGCCCGAGGGCTTATGTCCAGGATCCAAAAACCAGATAATTCCCACAAAGTACCCAGAAAACCTTGGTTGAGACAGTTTTGCTTCTGAAATAAAGGGGTGCTATCTTATTTTTGCTTGATTGCTTTTAGGTAGCAGCAGTAATATCTAACACCTTGCCTAGGCCACGGAAGAAGCGAATGGATGGTTCCAAGGGAAGGCACAAGTAAATCCCATACTAACAGTAATAATTTGACAGTACTTGCCTGTATGTCCATTATTTTCTATCTTCCATTTTGAAGATCCCTTCACATCGTATCCTTCAAAATTCAGTGGCTTAAGGCTCTTGTCATGAACAACAGTTTTGGTGACAATATTGATCGGTGACTGTTTCTTTTCCTTGCAGGCGGCATATGTGAGATGCCATTGTCGAGGACCTATTTAAGGATGAAGAAAATATTTTTTTCCTGTAGACTGCAAATCCTTCATAAAGCCAAACCACCAAAGAGTCAACAGATTCTTGCTTGGTAAATTTGAGACATCTTTGAAAAAGGTCTTTGGATGTTGGAATTTAATACAGGAACTTTCTTAGCATATAATTTTTTGTAGTTTTAAAAATATTAATATGTGTCAAGAATTTCTGTTAAGCTTAATAGGAAAGTGCTCACATGTAAATGGCTGTAAAACAGAAAGTGATCTACCACCAAGGTTGAACTATAGAAACTACAGAAACTTGGAGACTAACAAAAACCAAAAGAAAGTGATGGTGGTGGTGCTGGGTGGGAAATGCTGTTCCCAGCGCAGTTGGTTCCAGGGAGGGCTGGGCAGGACACAGGGATGGGAGCAGGCAGCCTCAGTGGGTGCTGCTGGTAAAACAAAAGGTGCAGTTGTAGGTAGAACATTAGGATTTTTCATAACTGTCTTTAAGAATTTAAATAGCTGCTTATATCCAGCTTGCTGGGGTGATTACCTCTGGAGCGCGTTTAGAGTTATTTTTATATTTGTATCATTATCCTTGGCTGAAACAAAATGAAGAGTTAGAACAAACACCGGTATCTTCAATATACCCTTCTTCAGGTATCCTGTTTAGCACTTATGTTGGCATACAACATGGTCATGCAGCATTAAATGCTGAGTTGTGTGAATTTTTGCATCATTTCTATAAAGAGGCCCTTTGCAAAACAGAAAAATCCAAGCACTAATGTGACTGGGAAAATACATTACTTAGCAGTACCTTCACAGTGGAGCTGTTCATACTTCTGTGACTGATAGCACCAATGGGCCCCAACTAGAAAAAAATAAAAATCAGATATTGAAAATTAGATGAATGAAATGCCGTACAGATTGTCCCCCCAAAAAGCAGATGTGAAATGGATTCACAACTTGTGATCCTCGGAGAGTGATAACAGAGCCCACAGTTTTGGCAACTTCTTGGGTTTGTCTGCCCAATTTTATTAGAGTAAGATGTTTCGTTTCTTAAATAGATAAACCACTGGGGCTGGTAAGACGTGAGTGCTGTGGCTGTCAAGTGTGGGGCACACCATCCAGCAAGGCTATAGCTGGGTTCTGATACCAAATAATTCAGAAGAGAGCATAGAAATCCTGCAGGAGGCAGCTCTCTCTCTCTCTCTCGATCTCCTCCTGGTCTTGAATGAATCAGTTAATATTCCTTCCAAAAACTGTGCTAGCGTGAAATAATAAAACTCTGGATAGGTTGCAGTTCCAAATAATTTGGTTTTGAAACTTCGGCTTCAGCAACTTCTGGAGGCAAAAGCTCCACATCTGAATATATGTAGTGTTAAAATAAATTTCCTTTTATCAGTTCTGTACTTGCCGTCCTTTCATATACTTGTAAATTCACTTATGCAGGATGACTTATCTCGCTCCGTTCCAGGAACTATTTTAAAGATTATGTGGTGCAATAAGGAATTTTAAGAACTGAAGGATCTCATTTCCCGAACGACACGAAGAATCTTTATTCTAACTCAGCTGTGATCCCACGCAGATGGTTGCCAAATTTTTCAACAGAACGTCTTAATCTTACTTTTTCATTGTCAGAAGAAATGTGAAATTCAGAGGAAGAGAGCTGATTTAATTTGACTATGTGTTGATCTAGTCAGGAAAGCAAGCACTATTTTGTTTATCGCAGCACGCTTCAATGGCTGTTTATGACAGTTATAAAGTTTATAAAGTTTCAATGGAACTTCAACAGGAACAGGAATACGCCACTCCGTAGCAATTCAAAACCTCTTGTAATCATGACTAATACTATAGTTTCTGTTTGCCTATGATTAGTAAATTACCAACCTTTGAATAAATGGCGAATTGATTCCTAGGGATTTTTATGGAGGAGTCCCGTCATTAGATTGCTAATCACCATAATTTGTGGTGTTTTATAACACATCTGCTGAAAGGCTCATGACTGCTTTTAACACCTTTAACTTCGTGTCAGTAGCACAGCAATGCCATCCATCTATTAATTATTTAGAATAAATTATAAATAGAACCTTGATATAAAACGTGTCTAGGTATAACAACAGGGGGAGACTTGGATGAGCTTGTGGCAATTAATATAATCTGGAAAAAATGATACTGGTTTAGTTCATCTCACAAAAATTAAATCCATGCTGAAAACTATAAATCATGCTGGCTCACTTTCTAGTTTAGCAAATCCTTAGTAATATTGAGAAGAAAAGTAAACAACACTGCTACATTTGTATTGCAAGAACTGCAGTGGCTTCTACATCGTTGGTCCACTAATATTTTGTAATTATAAAAAAATTGGTTTCAATAAAGTTTTATTTTGACACATTTCTACACATTCACAAACCTTAGCTTTGGGACTTGCCATTTCTAAAATGGATTGTTGCACTTTTTCAGGCCCGCATACACAAGGCTGTGGCCAGACCTCCAGCGGCACCGAGCGATTTCTCATCTCCACTGGGAAACCGCAGCATCAGAAGTTCCAAGCACAGAATGGCACCAAGCGCCTTAATTGATATTTTAATCAATAAATGCCTAGCAAATACCAGGTAAGCCAATCCTCACAATGCTTGATTATGTTTCATATGGGTTAGTGTTTGCATGGGTGAATGACTGCAGACATATTTTTGGCAACCGCTCTAGCCCAGCGGTCAGTATATGCTTTAACAACGGCTGTGCCAGCACCCATGATCGGGAGTGCTCAGTCTTTGCAAGTTGTGTGTGTGTGAACCTTCAGGAGAAAAAATACTGCACCGTGGGAATGACCTGGACACCAGTGTTGAAGGGTGGTAGCATCTATATGGCATGAGAGGAAGGTTACCTGCAAAGATTTGGTCTCAAAACTGTTTGGGATGTGAGTTAAACCAGAGAGGAAAGTTGTGAGGTGAGAAATCAAGGTTGGTTGAGGCATTCCGGTCTGTTTACTGTAAATTCTTGGAACAAGGTCTACTATTCTGGGTTTGTATAGTGCCTTGTACAATGGGTACGTGATCGTGACTTACACATCAAAGCATTACTGTAATGCAAATCAAATTTTACAGTCAATATGATTCACAAGTAGGAGTAAATGCAGCAAATTCATTGTTCTTTGGGTGCAAGGTCATGGAACTTTTAGACCATGACTGCAGAACCACAAAAATCAACGACAACAGCAGGAAACACTGAGGGAAGGTGAATATCCCCAAATTATACTGCCAGTGGTCCCGATACGGTGTCTCTGTACCAGAGGAGTGAAGTGGAAGGGGTTATGGAGCCTTTCATTGCTGAGTCTGAGTCCAACCCTTCTCAAAGAAAGCAACCACTGACTTTTTACCAGCTGAGAGGTGTTTGGCAGGTTCTCTCAAATAAGCTTGTGGGTTTCGATCACATCTTAGTAGGCCGACACATGAGCACACTAAAAAATCTTTCAGCCTACACTAGAAGATGATGGGGCAAAAAAGTTTAAAAAATTAAAATAAAAAGAAATCCAGTCCTCAGGTGGTTATTGCCTGCTTACATCCAGCAGTCTTGAGTGTCCTTCCCTTCATGTGTTGAACGCAATGTACACCAAGTAATTAGCATCTAATATTTGCAAGCTTTCTGCAAAATTCCTAATGTCTACAAACCAACAAAGAACTGGTGTTTTCTATCAAGTACTTATCACAGTTGTGGTTTAGAAAGTTGGATGGTACCAGTGAAGTAGAACAGGATATACACTCAGCAATTCATAAGAGAAAGCTCCTTAAAGCTGTTAAACCTTAAACAATGAGCTAATTAAACATTGCAGAATGCCTGAGCAAACAATGAATTAATGTTTATTGTGAATTAGATTTTTTTTTTTTTTTTTTTTTGGTGGTGGTAATGTAACATTGGAGAACAGGATCTTTCGTGTAGGTGCTGCTCAGGAGGAACAAAACTGCCATACCCCGTGTCACTTACAAGGAAAATTTGCATGCGGACTTTATCTGAGTTAGGTGTGATTCCTCCCTACGTATAGGGACCTTGCATTTACAATGGTCCTTTTTTCCCCCGGGCTTTGTGGCTTTATTTCTGAAGCAAGAAGGGAAGACACTTGTCACATCCAGTCAGTTTTCTGTGGTCTTAGGCATGATTATGCCCTAAGGTATGTTGTCTAGTCTAGTTTTAATTGTCTGAGCGGCTCCTGCCACTTCCCTTAGGAGACTTTTCCACAGTCTATCAGTCTTCACTGTCAGGAAATGCTTCCTGTTTAATAGCTTACATTTTCCACTTGCTTATCTGCATCCCATCACTCCTAGAAATATCACTGAACCACCCTAAACAATTCTTTTCCCTCCCTGGTGTTTACAGCATTCAAATAGTTCCTTCATAATCTGTAATTCCTGTTCCTGCTTCATCCATCCCTTGTCCCATCTCCTGACACTGTGCCCTTCACCTTTCCACCATTTCCAATTCAATATCTGTTGTCTCTTTCTCTGAAAACCCTTTCTTACAGGGACTCAGTACGTAGCAGATCCCACCCTGCTGTCCCCTCACCTGACTGCTCTTTTGATCAAACCTCAGCTCCCCCGTTCGCTTTCCTGTTATTTGTTTTATTGCCCAGAAAAATGCAGCAGAACATGGAGGGGTTTGGAGGTTTTTGTTTGGTTTTGTCGTTGAGGTGCTGAAACCATTGCTGTGATACGAGCTGCCCTGCAGGGTTTCACAGCTTACTCCCATACCTTGCTGCTACACATGAGTTAAGCCATGAGCATCTACACCGCTCAGGATAGTATTAGATACTAGCCAGGATTTCCCAAAGCTCCTTGCCTAATTGGCATTAAATAGAGACATTTGCATTGCTGCCACCATGGGAAGTAATAAATAGAATTCAGTATACATAGATGTTCAGCATGCATATACACCTGGATTTAGAATTGCTATGTTATCAACTATATCTGGCTCTTTACACTGTATTACGGCTTCTCGATTTAAGCGGCGATGCACCATACCATAGATGTCGCCCTGACTTTACTGGGTTTTAATTTAGAGCAGGGCTGAACTGGGCTGAAGGCCTCCTCTTCCTTCACAAAGTTCAAGACAGTTAAATTTAGGGAGTCTCTCTTGGCGAGTGAGCAGTCCCACTTATCTCTGTTTCTTCCTTCTCAAATTTACAACTGGTTTCCTGACCAAAGCTGTTTCTTGGCACCAGGATAGCTGGAAAACAATACAATTACGTATTGTTTTCATTTTATTGTAAATGTTTTCAATTGTTTTTGCTATCAAGCCTAGCTTGGAAACTTGAGGCAAAAAAAATGCCTTCAGCTGAGAACTCCCTCTTCTGTTCACTTAGGCAGCTGGCTGGAGGACAGTGCTTCTGGCTGGAAGCCGGGGCGCGAGCAGTTTGCCAATGTGCTATTGTGTGATCTAGGAAAAGACCCTTAAGCTCTTTGGACCATGGTCAGATTTGCCTGAATTCCACAGAAGTTCCTAAATCTACTTTGTTCTACTCGTTCCCTGCTTACTGCCCTACTTGGACCAGCTGAGCTTGGAAGCCCGCGCCTCCTGACTCAGTGCCGTCGGGCAGGTGGTGTTCAGGATACCTGAAAACTGCCCTTTTCGTTGGCCCAGCCGCACAAAAGAGTCACTAAAACAGGTTTTGTCCTGCTGGATAAAGCAGCTGGAAATCTATTAGTTTTGTATGTTGACGGTTAGCTATTTTCATTAACTGTATTTAATCTCCTGAAGTGCGAATTACCTTTATGCCACAAACAGCCTGAAGCACTGGGGCAGTAAGAGTATCCTCTGGTGCTTTTTATTTAAAATCCCTTCTCTCTCTTTCACTGACTGCCTCCTTTGTTTGTCCCTTTGGATCTCTCGTCACCCTCTTTCAGCCACGTCCTCGCTGCTGATTCCTTGTTTTCCGAGATGCACGGCTGAGAGTGCTCCCACTCCTCCAGGCGTTCCAGAAAGCCCAGGCTGCCCGGGATGTCACGGTTCTCGTTACCGCTCCATTGCCCACCCGTTCCAAATCCATCCCTAAGATCTGTTGTAACCACCGGCTCTGCAGCAGAGTGAAGGCTGGCCTTTTCCATGGAAATGGCAAAAGCTAGTTTTGCATGCGGTATATTTTTAGCTTTGGTTTGTGTTGGGCTCGTTCTATTTTTAACTTGCTTTGTGAAACTTGTTATCTTCAGTACAAAAGACAAAGCAACTTAAAAGCAAGTGGAATCTACGTCTGTCTTTCTAATTAATGAGATTGCTGAACACAAACTGCACATACATAAGTCTATTTATACGTTCTTAAGTATTACACATCCTCAGGAAGCCCTGATCAACTACTTTGACAAGCAAAATCAGTTCCAAATGTTTACCTCTAGATTTGGGTATCTCTAACCATGTAAAAAGAAATGTTTGTGACCATTCATCTCTCGCCTATTCACTTTTACCTGGAAATTTTATTTTTCATAATGCTATACATCTGTATGTGTGTACCTTCCAAGACATTATGGGGTGTTACCCTTGAAAATAAGCTTTATTGTAGTAGTGAAGCGCTACAAGTAACCACGTCTGATCTGAGCGTAGTGTTTATCATTTGCACATGCATACATAAATCACACACTCAATGAGGCCCCTCTCTGGAACACGTAGAAACTAAAGGAAAAATGCAAAGAGATTGGAGGATTCCAGATATGCCCTATGAACACTTGCAAACTACTTCCTTTGTGTCAGAGGGGGAGGAAAATGTTCTTAGCTGTGCCCTGTGATACTGCTGTAGCCTCTGTCATATATATGTGTCCTCATAAATTTGCTGTACCAAAGAAGGAAGCTGGCCTTTAACAAAAAACGAGTATCCAGGGCTAAGGTGATTTGCTTCTGTGGGGTATTTTGCTTTGCTTTGTTTACAGCAGAGGCAGCGTCAAATAAAATTCGGAAATCCTTTTTTTAAGTATTTTAAAAATTTAATTCAAGCAAATTACTTTGTGGCTTACTGTCCTTTTGTAGTCTTTTGTGCTGGGTTTACGATGACTGATCCTATGGCTAGAAATGTGACTACAAATCTAATAACAGGCCATTAGATATATTGTGCAGCATAACAAGGCATCTTCTGCAACGCCACAAGCAGGGAAAAAAGTCTGTTTGCATGGAGCCAGCCCCCTGGCTGGGGAACTGGGCCTCACAGCGTGTCTTGAAGACCGAAAGGTTTGTGCTGGTTATTTGGATGGCTAAGAGAAAGGTGTTTCACAGCAGTGCCTGTCTCTGAAACTGCTTTTCTGCTTCTAGTCTTCAAAATCTAAATGTAAGGGCTAGGAGAAATCATGATGCCAGTTTTCCCCAAGTATCACAGTGCACAGCTTGCAGCACATAAGGGATATTCCGATTCTTACGCTGATACTTTCGCTATAGGAGAAAGGAGAGTAATTCTTAAGCTGATGTAATGTCACTTGTCACCTGCATATGGCTCCTAGGTATGGCTTCTACCGTGCTCCTTTCCTTCCCCCAGAGCTGGAGTGAAGAGCAGCAGGGAAGCGCCCTGGCCTGGACGCTGGAGAAGGAGGAGGTGATGCAGCACATTGCAGCTCTGCACGAGGTCAGCTAAACCGTGAGTTAATACAAACTGATGAAAACGTAGCGTACTCACGCTAGTCAGGCTGATCCTTAATAATATGACTGGGTCCACTGTGTACGCAGAGAATTGCCCTCTCATTGCAAGCCACCAGAAACAGGCTGCAAACTAGTGAACGACGGTTTTTGAACTTGCAGCTGCGATGCCCTTGGATGCATCAGCCTAGTAAAAATCTGTCTGCTCAAGAACCTCGATGCCTCACAAGGCATCACAGAGACGCATGCTGCCTTAGGCACAGCATCGATAAACCAATGCAGGATTCATCTCATCTGTGGTATCAGCCATTCATCACCACATGCTACACGCAGTCACTCTTCAGCAGTTGGGAAGTCATGGATGGGGATGAGGGGTCTGGATCGTATGTGATGGAGACAGCAGAGGTGATCTTATAACGCTTACATGTGTAATGCAGGATCTGCAGGTGGATGTAGACTACAGCAAGGTGTGACTGCACAGGACATATTCTTGAATAACTTCACACATAGACTAATGTGGAGAGAATCAAGGCATTGCTGTTCTGACCCAAATTTATCCATTTGTGCAACACAGATGTATCTGGATACCCTGCCTGGCAGGCTACAGAAATGTAAGAAGTTAAAAACATTTCAAAGTTTATTCCATCTATAACTCTAATACTGTCTTGTAGCTGCCTTTCAGGAGTCTTTCAGCGACACACGGTGTTGTTTCTTTGCCTGCTGGGCTTGGTTCTCTGCCCCCCCCCAACCAAAACGGACTGGGTACAGCTAACAGAAGAGCTGTTTTCTGGCTCTACTGTCTCATCTGCTGCTCTGCCACAAATGCTTTTCTGTCTTTTGCTGGATTTTAGTGTCAAAGAGAGAGTGAAAATGAAGTTGCTACAATGCTTTACCACTTTGTGCCTTTATCATAAGTGTGGAAGGAAATAAGTGTACTCTGAGATTGCAGGATTTGGATCATTAGGTGTCCTGGTCAAGCAGTCTGTGTCCACTCTTCTCTCAGCTATGAACTCCCTCCAACTGTGAGCCAAATATGACAGTGGCTAAACCTCTGTTTACCATAACAGTCCCTCTTACAGAGTTCATTTGCTAAAATTTAATTGCAGGATCCACGTTTAATGGGAAAGTTCATAAGTAAAAAAATTCTAGAGTGTCTAAGATATTAAATACTAAGTCCTGCTACTGGTTCAGTACAGAAGATAGAGCTAGAAAAGTGTCTGCTGCCCACAGCTGGCTTGTGCAGTTTGCACAGGTAGGCAGGGAGGAGCCCGGAGCAGTACCGGGGGGCAGCTCCTGCCCCCAGTGCACACTGAGTACCTTTCTTCTGGCACGCAGCGGAGCCGGCAATGATGGCGTACACAGATACATATGGGTGGTGGTAGGCAGAGCCTTTCAATCTTTTGGCAGCTTGAATGATTGCAAGGCAGAAAGAGAAGGAAGTTCTAAGCAACGTACCCTGCATACAGATCATAACCTCAGCTCAAAAGTCTGCCTGTGCTGAGATAGTCAAGGTAACTACTTGAGATAACGTCAGTGATAGCTTGTCAGTTGTATTTACTCATTTGCTGGATTAGGTGGGTGGAGAGAGGAAAATCCAGGTAACCCATATTTCCTAAAGCACCTATGGATTACTGCCTAAAGCAGCTATGCCTTACTGCCTTTTCTGCGTGCTCGAGGTCTTATATTGCAGCTCTCACTCTTTCTTAAACAACTGAAAACGCAACTTTTCATCCCAGAGTGTGGCTAAGTGCACCAGCATCCCAACTTTGCCAACCCTAAAATAGGTTTGAAATATGAATATAAGTATGTGTGCAGTCTATACCATTAGACTTGGAAAGGGAAGAAGTTAAAGCATCTCTTTTTGTGCTGATAGAGCTATCAGGTGTCCTTTGTATCTGAAGGGCCCTGAGGAAACATCAGACTGAGAAATAATGCCAACAACATCCGTGCCAGCATGGTTATGTAAATTTCATGTTTGTGAAACTTAGAAGTATGTAAGTAGAAACATAGAAAATTAGAGGAATCATGTTCTATCATGCACCAATCTTAGAGCATGGGAGAATGACTTCTCGTGGCTTAGTCCTGGTCTGTGATAAAGAAAAAGGTTAAAACATGCTGGGGTTCATTCCATTCCTCTTAAAGAAAATTATTTTTCAGTAACACTTGGAGCTTGCTGTAACCCCACCACGAAGCTTCTGGACGGACGTATATCACGGTCCTCTACAACTGTTGTTCTCTGGCTGGCACTAGACTGAACCTACCATTAATAAAACATCTCTCTCAGAAGGCTTGGAATATTCCTGTTGGAACACTGCAGACATTTTGCCTCTCTTCTGCCTGTCTGCAGCAGTACCAGAGGGTCACTGATCTCTCAGAGGAATCAAGCAAGCCACCTGAGGTGCATCAGTGCAGCTATTAATGGAATGTGCTGAGAAGCATGGAAGTCAGTGGATGAGACGCTGGACAGAGATTCAAGCTAGGTGGTTCCCCTTCCTGGTGCCAGTTGATCTCTGGGTGGGTGCCTCGGTTTCCCTTTTGCAGAATGGGGATAATGAAGCTTGCTTCTTTATAAAGCCCTGTAGGGACTATTAGTAATCATTTTAAAACATAGGTGTTATGATATTAAGACAGGTCAAGGCTGGAAGCAATTTGAGAGATTAGCAATCAGCTATATTGACTGTTTAAGTATGGTGAATTATGAGGCTGCCCAGATTAGAAAACCAGCCCTGGTGGAGGTATGCTAAATGAGCTGGTAAGCGGCTATCACTCAAGCTAGTCCTGAAAAGTGGTCAGACCGAAATGAAATCCTTATTTTTTAAAAAAGATACCTTCCAAGTATAACAGAAAATAATTTGAGCTGATTGCAAATGTTGAGGTTTCTTGAAATATTTAGCCTTTAACTTAGCATAACGTGTCCTGTGAAGCTTCGACCTCAGGAAAAGGTTTGGAAAATAAGGTGGGGGGGGAGCAGGTTTCTTGTGCATTAATGACTGTGTAGTTTGCCTCCACACTCAGGGAAGAAAGCAGAAATAATCATGGTTGGGAAAAAAAGCAACAAAAAATATAATATGCATTCCCTATCTTCCGTCTGCTAAAGCACTAATTATTAACACTAATCTAATAAAGCCGTTAAGGGTTGTCTAAATAGATCCTGTAATAAATCCCTCAATAGAGCAGTAAATTTAGCAAAGTGTTAATCAGTCGGTAATCAATAGCAAGCAAACACTACCTGTAGACTTTGTAAGAGCAAAGGTTCTTTGTGTTTCTGTTTACCTGTACCACACGTGGGAAGGCTCCGGAGAGAGAATACCTACAAAATACAGGCTAAAGAAGGGGAAGGTGTTTGAACTGTCAGGTAAGAACCTGGAAAAGGCAAGCTACTGAGGCACGGGTATGGAGAATTAACTAAGAACAGAGAAATAAAAA